TATTCCTCTTCAGAATCATTGGTTGAGAAGGAATTGGGCGTGGACAAATTAGGGATCTCTAAGAGATTTACAGAGCCCCATCAAGAAGGCAACAAGAGAAGGATTCTAGAAAGACTTGATTCTGATGTACAAAAGTTGACAAACCTTCAAATAACCGTGGAAGACCTGAAGAGGAATGTGGAGATTACTGAAAAGAGCAAAAAAGGGCGAAGGTATTGAATTTGAAAACGTGAAGGGGCAGCTGGAAGAAGCTGACGAGGCCATCACTAAGTTGTTATATATCTCCACTGTCAATTCTTATATTGTGAAGTAAACAACATACCAAGATGATGCTCGGAAGTTTCCGCTTATCACGTCTCCATATGACTTTGTTAAGGATTCTCCAAGTGCCCTTTAACTGCGAGAATGCCGTTATTGCAAGTGACCTTGCAGCCCCATGCACGACATTGGAAATGGAAGCTGGGAGGCCATTGCTTTCATAAGGAGTTACGAGCCAGGAAAGCAGAGGATAGCCAACCCCACCAACTAAGCATTCCCTTATTATATTTAATTACCGGTATCGCCGCACGGCTATACTGTATTTTATTTATTTTTAATTTTTTTAAGCGTATAGCCGGACGGCTATACTTTTTTTTATTTTTTTATTTTTTACGATTATAGCCGCGCGGCAGTACTGTTAAAATATTTGAAGATATTTAAGTAGTATAGCCGCCCGGCTATACTGTTATTTCTCCAACAACAAAAAAAGTGGCAAAACTGCTAAAATATGAATATAATTTGAATACTTTAGGTTGTTCTTTAGTCTTCTCCATAAGGAGGTATATATAGGAGTTTACATATGAGGGTTTTACGAGGAATTCGATATAGTAAAGAGTTAGGAAAGTATCTCCTAATTGTACAATGATTTATCACTTATATAAAAAATAGGAAAGTAAATCCTTTAATTAATGAAGGAAGTAAATCTCCTTGATTAATTAAGAGACTCACGTCAACAAAAACGTCTCCATCTGTACGTCTCTGGTGCTTCTCTTTAAACGTCAAACAAGAAGAAGCAAAGTCTTAGCCTTCCTCATGCTGTGAGTCTGTGACTGTTGTCTTGGATTCATTGAACTTGTTTGAAATTGAAACCAACCAAGGCAAAAGTGAAGGGACATATACAAAGAACATAGAGAGTAGAGGGAAGCCTCAGCTGTGCAAATTGCAAGCAAGAAAAGAAGAATGGAATTGGAGGGAAGGTGACCACTTTCCATAAACATATGGGGTTCACGCCATCTTTCTTTGATCTCTTCTCTGCACGCATAAAACTAATACCAGTTTTTTTATGTCCCCACTTTGACCAGACAACACACTATGCTGCTGCAGATAGAAAGAATTAAATGGTTCCATTTGTCTCCTTCTCTAAGGGATGGGATCAATTACCTCTTTCCTCCATCAGCAACAAAAGGGTATCTGCACTGCAGCCTATCTTATCATCTCAATGAGTTCTGTTAAATCTAGCAGAGCCAGAGAGACTACATCAACTAGTTTAAGATGGACAACTGAGAGAAGGCCAAATCTGGGGGCCAGCTTGCTGGGTTAGGTGTGCTTTGGATCTACTTATTTAAATTACCTATTTTATTGTAAGACAACATCTTCAATAAACTAATCATTAGAGGTGTGCTTTTGTGTCAGCATGGGATCTTTGTCTTCTGATTTCACTTCTTTTTCCATCTTTCTTTCTCTCCTACATGATAATGACCTTCCCTCAATGGAGACCCCAAAAATGAGATGTTTCTCTTGGGTTCAGTTAAGTCCCACCTAACCTCCTTTATTTAATTATTGTTTTATCACTCTTTTGCCAGTAACTAATTACTTTAAGAGATATTTAGTGATATACTCATTCTTAGCACTAATATTATAGATAAACCCTACACCATTGAATTTCTATAATAAAAAAACCCAAAAAAATGATAGATGAGCCTTATTGAATTTAATATTGATTATTAAATTACTTTGGTGCCCTATTAAGTGTTTTGGGTATTTTTATGAGATTTTGGGATTGGACTTGTTTTAAGAAATTCATGACAATTTTGTAATTTATAAAAAGTTAAAAACCTCTTTATTATGTTGTAAATGAATTTTGGGTGTATTTTTAAAATTCATTTCATATGATATATTTTTATCATTTGGATTCCTATATTGAGTATAATAGTAAATCTCCCTTATATTTATCGGAGAAATCTGGAAAATTTGTAAATGGTGGAGTTGATAAATATTGGGTTGGCTTCGATTTTGTTGAGGAACAGTATACGTTTTGGGGAAGAAAAATCTTCTCCGGCGTCACTCTCCCTCCTCCAGATCTCAGGAATCTCTTTCCTCTTTTTTTCTTCAAATTTTATTATCTATTGGGTAGTTTTGGAAGATTTGGAATGGTGAAGCTGAGAGAGCTTGAGTTCTGTCAGGGAACAGTGAAGGCACGGTTTTGGGGAGAAAAATCGCACCATGTATTGGTTTCTTCTCCAGATGTAAGGAATCTCTCCTGCCATTCCATTATCACAAAGTATTATCCTTCTTCACCTTCATTTATTAAGCTAAAAAAACAGAGAGAAATGAGTGTGGGTGTTGAAGGAGTGACTGAAGAGGAAGTGAAACACCAGAAATAGAAGAAGAACAGAGTTTTTTTAACGGACTGCAAGAGGAATGAGGGAGAGAGAGAGAAGGGGAATAACATGGGTAAAAATACTTTGTAAAATTTTAAATTGAAAAACAAATTGATTACGCAGGCTGAGTGATTGAAGAGAAAAAGAGGAATGAATATGCAGGGGCGTGTGGGTGACGATGATGGTGAGGAGTGATTGAAGAGAGAGATTAATGGATGAGAGAGAGAGAGAGAGATGCGGAAGAGAGAAGAGAAAGTGGGTTCAAAACATTATTTTAATATTTAAAATTGGAAGTAAAATTAGTTGCAAGCTATGGACATTTTATTGGCTTGGCATACTTACGTGTTTGCTTCCATGTGACTAGGGCACCAACTCTTGTTAAGGACATGTTGATGAACTTTTCGGGCTCTGGTATTAGTGTATCAAAGCAAGCCTCGGAGCATCTCCCTCCTAATTACAAACTGAAGCTTGGGAAGGTTTACCATATGATTCCTCTTCTGGGTTCTGTTGCAAGTGATGCGAGCAGTGCAGGTATTATTTCATCTGTGGATGTTACAGAAAAGGACAGGGCTGCTACAAGAAGGATTAAGATCGTCATAACAAAGCAACAGCTTCAAGAGCTATTGACAAAGCAAATCTCAGTGCAGGAGGTTCTTTCAGCTTCAGGGCTTGAACAGAAATCATGTTCGTCTAATGATTCTTCAACAAATTGGAAGCCGAAGCTTGAATCCATCCCTGAACTTGAAGGAAGCGAGTAAAGTTACTTTCCAGCGTTTTGTTCATTAACTTACTTTGCCAGATAAGGAGAGGCTCATAGATGCCCCCTGCATGTTATAATTATATACTGTACATTATGGAATTGAATCAACATGTTTTTATCAGTTTAATGCTTTCTTGCGAAACACGTACTGAATGGCCATTAATATTTTTCCAGTCCTGTTTCATCATCATCTTATGTGCAGTTGTTGTTAGGTAGGTTCTTACTTGGTAATCACTCGGCAGACACAAATCTATATATAATATATGGTTAACAATTAATTAATAAAAAGTGTTGGCGTACTTTCTACACATTTTCTTAAACAATTCAAGTTGAAATCTTAGGTGGTAAGAGAATGAAATCATGCTTTTTGAAAACCAAAAATAGTGGTATTTGCTAGCAACAACATAATGGAGGTAGTCAATCAAAATAGATTGATCCGAAATCTGATTCAAATCCAATAAAGCACTCTTCTCAAGTGTGATTAACAATCTGGCTTACTGTTTTCCATTTTACATGCTTACTGATGTTGGCTGAGGCAATCAAAAGGGGTGTTATTTTAATAGAGGCCTTGACCAATACTGGCACAAGCATTGGTGGCCAAAATTTTCATCACTCTGGCAATCAAGTTCTTAAATGCAGAGGCATTTTGGGATGAAGCTGATACTAATTGGAGTTGAGACATATGAACGTATATATAATTGGGGTTTATTATTTATATTTTGTTAGAAACAACTTTGTACATTGCAAGAAAGCACAATGAAAGCGACCAAAACAACACACAAAATAAAAAGCCACAAAACCTAGAGCAGAATACGAACAGAGAAGGCTTGCTTTCACTGGATCGCAACATCAATGACCTTGCGTTCAACTTTAGTTTTGGGAATGGATATGTAAAGAACACCGTTCTTAAGCTCTGCCTTTATGTTGTCCTTCTCACAATTATCAGGAAGCTGAAGGCGGGTATTATAGGAGCTAAAGCTCCTGCTCGACCATGAATCATCACCACTCTCTTCCTTTTTGTGCTCTCCCTTTATAACAAGAACATCATCTTCTACAGCCACCTTGACATCCTCCTTGGAGAGGCCGGGCATGTCAAACCTCATTTTGATCTCATGTTCATCATCTTTGATGTCCCAAGGTGCACGTACTTCCCCTGATGCTCTGTTTCTGCCTGGAAATGTCACAGTGTCCTCCAGGAGCCTGTCCACCGTGTCCAGCATTTGGCGCATGGTCCTCACTGGGGAGATGGGATCCAATAAACCTGAAAACAAATTGAAACTCATCTTTAAGCAAACAAGTTTGATGGTGCTTTTTAAAGAAACAAAGAAACCACTAAATAAACATTAAGAACCTCCTGTCTAATTTTCCTCTGTTTCCTCTGTTCAAACAGGTCAGAATTCAAGTAAAGAACAACTTACGAGAGATTGTGACACTTACCAAAAGGTGAAATGTCGCCAGCCAACCTCCTTGGCCTCCTCTCGACTTCAGTTCCTTGGTTGCCCTGATTGACTTGCACGTCCAGCTTGCCATCTCCACCAGCCTGAGCTCTCACCACGGGCAGCCTATGCAACCGCGAAGGAAAGGTGGCTGAGCACGGCGCAGTGACATATGTTTTGATTGAAGACCTAGCTTTGGTTGATAGCAAAGGTGATGAAGATGACAAAGCCAAAGCTGAAGACATAGTGATTGCTATAAGCTAATACAGAAAGAAAATATACGAAATTAGAGTTGTTGCCAAGTGGCTCTACACTCTACAGTGAGCTTCTCCTTCTTTTTGCCAATTAGAACTTTGGGATTGCTTGGTGAGTCAGGCAGGGACCATTATGCAATATATAGGTTAACTTGTAGGATTCTGGAAAGGAAGCTTGAGGAAGGGTCTTGAACGTTTGAGACTGAAACTTCTGGACCCAACGACACCTGTGAATTTTACATTTTTCTCCTGCTTTCCGGAAAGATCCATGTCATGACATGCATCTTGATATTGTCCTGTTATGCCATAGAAAATGTGATTTTGTAATTAGACCCTTGTGCTTTAAAGATATTTTCAGACAACCCCTTGTCCTGTATACTGCTGTGTTGTGTTCTTATCCAGTACAAGGTTTTGATATTATCTTCTCCGCAAATCCATCTCTGTCTCTTTCCTACTTTATCTCTTCAGTCCGAGAAAATGAAAACTAAAAGATTATGAAATTATTATGTATGTAGGGGCTATTTGTTTGCCAAAGTTAATTTGACATTAGAACCCCATTTAACCGTAACGTAATCATTCACGGGCTAGCAAGCAATAGGAGCTATTCTGAGTCATTTGACCACGACCTGAGGACAATTTGGGGCCCACATAAGTGGTGTGGCAGAGTATTTAATTTTTGTTTTTGTTTCTCTTGTGTGGTATACGGCATACCAAAGTGAGATGTCAGTGGTCATTCTTTGTTGTTTCTCCTTGTTAATTGCTTATGGCGGACTTTTCTGAAGCAACTGCTTTCAAATATTCACCTACCTTTAAACACACAGAAAGAAAGAAAGAAACAGAGAATTCAGAGAATCCGAGAAAGTTTGACTGTTGTACTGAAATGCACTATTTCTAACTTTGTACATAAATACAAAGACTCATCCCAGACTGCATCTTTTAGTTTTTAGTAATGACTCAAATGAAACTCTTTTGCTTAGGGATTATGATTATATGATTTCGATGCCTAAAAGCTTACGCCTCGCAAACTCCTCGCCTATACGCCTCGCCTTTAAAAACATTGCATCTTACTACTGTGCTAACTTTTAATGTTACTCTTTTCTTTGGCAGCTCTCTCCCTCTTTTTTCTTTTTTTCTTTTTTAATACAAGACAAATAAAGCAAAAGCAAAAGCTAAGCCCTCCTCCCCATCTTTGCCTCAGCTTTCAGCATTCTCGAGAGTATTTAGTCTGACACAGTGCTCCATTAATATCCTCATGCCACAAGAAAACAGCATTTCCTTTAGCATTATATACTGCAAATGTTAACGTTATATGTCCACACATACAGTGAAAGGCCTGCCAGGCTGCTCCTAAATGCATGTTAACGTTATTTGTTGTTTAGCATTAATTCAAAACATACCAACTACTCAAACAAGAAGCTCCTATATCCCAAAGAAATCCCCACGCTTCTTCATATAATAGGATCAGTTGGTTTTATCATTATTGTAGTTTTTGAGTTTTTACCAGTCAACATTTTCATGGGGAAGATTGGAGGGGGCTCGTGGTTGACTGCGGTCAAAAGGGCTTTCAGGTCTCCTACCAAGACTGAGAGAAGCAACACCAGAAGGAGAGAAGAACTACACGAGCAAGAGGATCATGAAGAAAAGGTACAAACTTTGCTACAAGGCTTTGTATAGACAGATTTATTACGGCATGTTTGTTTGTTAACTTCGCTATGGCTATCTCTGTGTTTCTTGTTGACCAAATTATTGAAATCTGTAAATGAAGTACTTGTTCACCAAATTATTGAAAGTCGGTTTTTGCGTATGTTTTTGCAGAAGAGAGGAAAACGCAGATGGATTTTTAGGAAGCCTGTGAGTCAGGAAACAGTTATACATGTACAACACAGTGAAGCAAGAAGCTTAAGTCCTACCACCTCTGCTGATGCCAGAGCCACCACTCAAACTGCAACCATGGCAGCTCAACATGAGGCTTCTGCTGATGCTCTTGCCATGGCCGTGCCCACGACAGCAGTTGCCACAGTGCAAGCTGTTCGTTTAACTAAGTCTAATTGCAGGCCTTCCATTTTCGTTAGAGACTATGCTGCCATTGTTATTCAGACTGCCTTCAGAGGATATCTGGTAATTGATAAACTTTAACTAGCCAATGCCATGTATATATAACATAATTGCTCCATTGATGGATTTTGGTAAATGTTTAAGGCGAGAAGAGCTCTTCGGGCGCTCAAGGGGCTGGTGAAGCTTCAAGCACTGGTGAGAGGCCACAATGTCAGAAAGAGGGCAAAGATGACTCTACAATGCATGCAAGCTCTGGTTCGAGTGCAAGCTCGGGTTCTCGACCAACGGACAAAGAGGCTTTCATATGAAGGCAGTGCAGATTCCATTTTTAGTGATCCCAATAGCTTATGGGGATCACATTTCTCAGACAGGAGGGAGTCCATTGTAGGATATAATTAATTTATCCAATATGGTTTTAAGTCATTATTTTTTTTAGGAGTTAAAAGCTTCATCTGTGATCTCTGTTTACTTGATTGTGTATTAATGCAGTCAAAAGATGAAGAAAGCGGCACCGTAGATGATCTGATCCATTGGGATGATGTCCACCCAAAGACATTAGAGCAAATTCAGGCCATGCTACACAAAACAAAACAAGCTGCCTTGAAACGTGAAAGAAGTACCATTTCTTGTGCCTTCTCTAACCAGGTCTTGATCATCTGCCACATGTTCTGTCTTTTTAGTTTCTGTAACATCTCTGCATATTCTTTAACTTCTGCAATTAGAGCTCATAATTTCTAACTTTTATTTTGTGCATGGTTTCATAAATAATACAAAGAAATGGAAAACCGGCAATGGTGACCAAGATGTTAACGTTGGTCATGAGCATGAGGAGCTAGAAGAGAAATTTAATTTGCTTGATGGGTGGACAAGAAGAAAGCAATGTGAGAATTTTGCAGGCAGAGCTTCATGTGATCAGCAAAGAGACCCCATCAAAACCGTTGAAATGGACACTTCTCGACCTTACTCTTATTCAAGTACCCCCAATTCCAAAAGAGCAGATCATCAATATAATTTTCAGAGCCAGCTGCACTACCACCAACAACAACAAAGAGTGCCTCTGACTCCTCAGTCATATGATCCAGTTGCCTCTGCTTTACATCTAGGCCAGACATGTCCCTCCCTCCAATCACCGATCACACCATTTGCATCCATCCCAAGAAATCTTCAAGTGCACTCAGCTAGTCCTCGTTGCAGTGTTAGAGTTAGAGGAGATCAGAGGAACCATCCAACGCCTCCGCATACACCCAACTTCAACTTAGGCTCCACTAATTACAACAATGGGTTTGTGGGAGTGATGAGTGGTTCTGAAGTGCCAAACTACATGGCTGCCACAGCATCAGCCAAGGCTCGGCTTCGGTCACAGAGCGCACCAAGGCAAAGGCATTCAACGCATGACAGAGAGAAGCCAGGGTCTGCAAGAA